GTACCTGGAGAGCGAAATGGGACTTGTAAGTAGAGTTATAAGTACCCTAAATATAGTTACAAGTACCCTAACTAGAGCTATAAGTATACTAACTATAGTGATAAGTACCCTGACTATAAACACAATAAGGTTACCTGAATAACAACTCTACTTACAAGTCCCAGAGCCCCTCCAAGTAGGGGTCTACAGTACATACACTCGGGCCCGAAGGAAGCACTACTCACTACTCATATTTACCTAGATTTTAGTAGTTACACGGCACGACCGTACTAGTATCCCAAGAAGGGAGAGCTCTATACTGCTTTTATTCGCTCTTCTACATTGCCCATATAACTTATAAACCACAGAAGACAATACCAAGTCACTGACTCACATTGGAGAACCTGTCGACAACATGGCTAGAATCAAAGCCAGCAGGCAGCAAGTTCTCTCGAGACTGGAGGGCTCCTGCGGGGTGTGGACACGGATGACAGAACATCCTGAACCCTCGCAAACCTGAACCCTAAACGAACCCTTGCAGCTTCAGAGCCGTCTCAACGGTCTGGCAGAAGCTCGAGAGCTTGCTGCCCTTAGACACAAAATGGGCCAGAGCCGCTGCTGCCGCCTCCTTGCGGGCAGCTGACAGCTTGCTCAGGCGGCGGGCCAGCTGTTCCGTTCCCAACTTCCGCTGCCCCTGGCCCACTGAGAGCACAGCTTCCAAGTATTTGTCCGCAAACACGTTGTCATGCTTCACACCCCGTTGTTGCATCTCCATTAGAACTGATTGGAGATCCTCCACCGGCTGCCTGTGCAAAGTCTGCACGATGATCGTAAACAACCTGAGATCTGGCTTCAAGCCTGCGTCAAGCATCCGCTTGAATGTGAGTTTCACAGCCTCAGGCCCTCCTTGCTTTCCAGTCTCGCATGCGCGGAGCACTGATGTGTAGTGACCGACATCTGCTTTAACCTTGGCCTCTGCCATCTCATCCAGCAAGCTGGTTGCAGCATTCATGTCCGCTGCATCGGCTGCAGCGACCAACCTGGCTGCAGCCATAGTTGCGTCCATCTTGTAGTTCTGCAGGGCTTCTTCCCATATTTGCCGGACACGCTTCCGATCGCCAAGTTTCCCAAACAGCTTCATTGCCAGGTTGTACGTCACGATCCCCTGCTGGAGTGACATCTCGCACAGCTGGTTGTACAGAGCTGCACCAGCCTTGTACTTGCGGCATTTCAAGGCCGCGTTCATCTCAGCATTGAAAAAGGGAGTGAACGGCACCTTTGCAGATCCTTGTAGTTCTTGGACCCTTCGCCATTGTCTCCGATTTGCCGCTTCATTGACCTGCCGCAACAGTGACTTTTCTTGCTCCGTGAACTCATACTTGTTCGGGCGCTGGTTCTCTGCTGATGTGTAGAAATTGCTTGGCAAGCCCTCGGCTGAAAAGAAGCGGCTGCTCAGCCACGTAGGCGCCAATGCTGAGTGCAATGGCAAGAGCAACCCACCTGAACCGCTTGGTATCAGCAGGCATGTCTTCGACGGCTATCTTGAGAGCTGAGTTCTCAACACGGCAGTGAACATGCAGCCCTGGTAGACAAGCGGTTATATTCAAGCGTGCAGTAAGGCAGCAAGTCGCCTTACAACCGGCAGAAGTTTTCAACAACCTGCATCATGGGCATTTGAAGCATGTGGCCCATGAGAAGCTGCAATGACCTCATTTCGCTTGTCTCCCAACACCAACAACCTCAATCTCAAAACCAAAACCCTCATTAGACCCTATAAGCCTCAAAGCTTCTGGAAGCAGAAGGCGGACACCAAGAATTTTCCGACTACAACTGCAAGCGTAAGCACTACATGTCAACAAAATACAATAACCAAAGCATGTGTTTAGCAACCTCACTGCTCAACCATCTGGATACATTAGACCTCTCGTCATTGCACAGTGTCCTGCGCGAACTCGTGCCACATCGTGGAGGGGGCGTGCCTGCACCTCACCAGCACTGCACTTTTTCCCTCGGGCCCTAACGGTCTAGATAAACAATTAGGGCACAAAATTCGTACCTAGAGTCCCAGGTTTCGAACAAAAGGGTTCAGGGGGTGGGGCGGGCATCGGGTGCAGGGCTTTCAAGCACGAGGACGATTTTTGGCTTCATAGCAGTGCAGTTTACTAATCTATTACATCGTAGCCGCAGCCAGTACTTGGAGCCACGTTTGATCTGGTGTATCATACTTTTTTAGGGGTTGAAGAGCCAATTGACGGGAAAAGCAACGCAGGCAAGCTAGCATCACCAGAGACCCATACTTCTGGGTCCTTGCAGCCCTGTGAGTTGGGCTTGGTGTGTGGCTTCTGCAAAATCTGGGACGGCAGACTGCCAACTCCTCAATCCGCTGGCTTGCGCTAGCTGCATTCTCCTCTACAATCGTTGACCTCGTGTAAGAATCTTGCCAGCTGCTAGCACCGGAAGAGCAATGACGGCATGGCCTCACCGCCTCTCAAGCATCTTTTAACCCCATGAGGACAAGTTGATGTTGCGAAATGAACTCCCATCTGTCACTTGTTTCTCAAGCCGATTGCAGTCATCCTGGGCGCCAGACGGAATTCAGGACCGCATCGCGTGTCCTTTCTATGTACTTTCCAAACCTACGTGTGGATCCACGACATGAGGGGTATACTCTAACCACAGTGCTGACTATAGCCTACATAGTATACTATAGTTTGGGATCTATGAGGGAAATGCTTTTCGCACCTATGCCGAGGCAAACAGGTGGCTTTTGCGAAAGTACACCCAAGTAGAGGACTTCAATTATGCAATCTTGCACCCACTCCTGGACCCTACCGTCTTCTCCCTGAGCCTCCTGTTACCTACTTAACAGGTTTCTGTTCCTCAGACCCTACATCGCCTCTATACGCCATATACCATAGTAACCCATTACATAGGTAACTGCAAGCCCAGGATCTGGACCCTAAAGAAGAACAAGAAGCGCTACGCAAGCGGCAGGCAGGCCTTGCACTCCCTCGGCAAGGTGGTATCCTGAACCGTGCCCAGGAGCGTTGCATTCCGAGGGTTTCCGAGGCAACAGATAGCCGTTTAGGGTTTAGGGTCGCGTGCGTAGTGGACTACCTAGCATGCTCGTGATTCCACACGGCCTCAATGGGACGAGAAGTAGCCGAAGTGAGAGTCGTTGAGCCAGCGCACGAAGGCCTGGACCATCCACGATGCAATATTGGTTTGCGAGGGGACCCCCGGGCTATTGCGGATTCATGGACCTCATCTTGGGGGTTTTTGGACCCATCTTAGACCCAGGAACCTGTGCCTCTTGGTGACTTGGACATGGAATCTGGGGTGCGAAATACACTTTTGGGGCTCATGGACCTTATCTAAACCATGGATTATAACACATGTGAGCGTTTGGCGCATCTCAGAGTTTCTTTAAGCAGAAATCAATGCCCCTTATTCTGTATCACAAAACTCCTTCTAAATGCGGGGTTCCAACGCAAACGCCAAGAAGACACAAGAAGAACTCCTTCGCTCTGTGCAGCGTGTGCTGTCTGCTTCCAAGCTTCGACAAATGCCATCTGGAACAGAAACCAAACGTTTCAAGTCCTGACTGGGTGGACCTCGTATAGTTCTTGGCAGTTTGGTACTCTGGGACAAGAAAATTAAAGATTCATATCAGGTTTCCTGCCAAGGTCCAACTATGACACGAGTTCACGGTATTGCTGAATTCAACCTACTTGCACGCAGTGCCAAGCTGAAAGTAATTGCTAATCGTGGAGTATCCTGCCTATCTATCCGCCTGCAGCAGGCCAATAACTGAGAGCAGCCGTCCATGACTAGCGCATGTGGATATGTGGAATAAGTGCTGGTGAGCGAGTCTGCTTATCATGTTGGGTTGGGTGTGGACAGCGGGGCCAAAGGGGGTTGGGTTGTTGAGGGGGATCAGCGTTTGGCTGCATTTTATGCTTGCCTGGCAAATAGCCGTGCATCAAGCTGCCCAAGGTAGGGCAACAAGTGAGCCATGGGCTGCCGGCACTCGTATTAGGATTTCTGGTACCTTTTGCTCAACAGTTGCTCGCTACTTTCTCAGGGTTGCTCTTTCCAGATTTGCCTGAAGAAGCTTGGAGCCGGAACAGGGCGGAAGACTGGCACAGCACGAACAGAAGAATCAAATCATGTAAACTAGACCACAAGACGCATTCAGCACCTGGCCACAACAAAGCTGGGCCGTCATGAGCTGCTGAGTAGAAAGCAGGAGGGACTCAATAGGCGCCATACGCCCAAGACACGGGAGCGGTCCGACAAGTCTGCAACTGTTGCTTGCGCGCATGCCCAAATCCTTTGAGCCCTGCATAACCCCTATCTAGTCCATATGGAACGTTTTATATAGGGACTAGATAGACGCTAAATAAGAACTTGAGGGCTGGAACGTCCTTCTCGAAGCTGCCCATGGGCCGCGCATGTGCTGGCTTCTCCAAACACTGCTGGAAAGATACCTGGAGACTTGGGGCCCACCCCTTAATCAAACCCAAACCCACAAGGCCTGTGGGTGCAGAAGTCGGATCCTTTTTCGACACAGAACTTTCACTCCCGAGCCAAGCGCCCGCTGTGCCAGCACGCCAAATGAACGCGCGAGCTGAGATTTTTCACCGGCAGCTGATGGAAGATGTGGTCCCGAGTAAAGGCCAAGCCAAACATTACCACCCTTGCTTCAACGAATACTGTAGTCATACTTGTAGGCCAACAATGAAGCCACCCTCGGGACATACAGTTACCTATGCAAGTCAGGTTATCTGATAACCGGAACAACGTTTTTGCAAGCCATGTAGCTCGACATCTGTCACATAAAATCTGGGACTGAACAAGATTAGGATCTGCCGACACAACGGTAACAGACACACTGCATTCCAGCTCAGCCATTTCATCAGGAACCCCCAAATCAGCTGCCGGTCGCTACCCTACGAGTGAAGCTGCCAGATGCCACGACGGCGACATCTGACATGCAAAGCAGTACCTAGACCTTTTGACTACACCATGATCTCCTCAGCACCAGCGCTGAGCCCCGTGGGGTAGGAGCTGTCAAAGAGGACTCCACATTCCTGGAGGCAAGATGCCCCAAAAATGACATGAACACCGATATGGGCGATGCTAGATTTTGCTGGTCAAGATAATGTCCATACCCTAAACTTGCCCTAAACCCTGTTCTTGTTCGGGCTCGGGGCTTCCAGGTCGCACCGCGTCCACTGAAGTTTCTATCACTTCGCCTAGTCCTCTCCTACCGACAATAGCCCCCCCACCCTTGAGGCTTCAGGATCCTCTCCCCCGAAGAATGCATTTTGACAATACACTACCAGCACATAGGGGAACGCTCATTCCTGGCGGCGTGGTGGGTGGACTGCTTGGGGACAGCATTGCAAGCTGTGCTCAGGACGTTAACGTTCCCAAGCCCTCCATGCCCTCGCACAAACCACAAAGCAACAGGAGGCCTTAAACTCTGAACAGGCTATACCACTCAAACTTTGGCGCATGCCCAGTTCTGGTTTTGGATGGCTAGTTCAGTCCTCCAACACTGACAGCTTTCAACAGACAAACTAGCACACAAATATCAAAACAAAAGCAAGGGTTTAGGGTTCATCTTAGAGCCATTGCCAGCCGAAATTCTCCACCGATTGTCTGCGTCTTTGGGTAGGGCTTGCAAGCTTCGCCATCCGCGGGGCGGTGATCGATGAAGGTCTTATCGTCACTGGCCCGCGACCTAGGGTTGAGGTTTAGGCTTACCCCTAAGGATCCAAGCCAACAGGCTATAATCTAAACTAGTATCCCCCTTGATAACCCCTACAGTAGTCCCCTGTATGATCCCTGATATGACACTCTCTAAGGAGTTTAGAATATGGCTCATGTGCCTTTAAAATACCTAAAGCCCTAATATTTGGGTACCTGGACCCTTAGGGTTACGTCTTTGGATTCAGATGGTCCAATTGGTTGATGACTCCTTCTCCTGAAGTGGCACTTTCGGGTCCAAGGCATGGTGGCTTGCATGTAGATTTGAAGACTGGGAGACCCCTTAACACCCTTGAAAACTTTTGGATATCTTGCAACCTCTACACACCCCACACCCTACACCTTAAACCCCTCTAAGAGCTCCCGATCTTGAAACCTTTAAAGACCTCACCCTACACCTGAAACCCTAAGGACCCCTATCTTGAAAACTTTAGACACCCCCCACCCTACACCTTAAACCCCTCTACTTGGAGGGTCAAGAGGACTTGATATGTAGGTTTATAATAAGTGCAATAAGGATAACTGAGGTTACTATATGGGCCATAGGGGTTATTAACCTACTTACTAAGTCCCCCTGACCCTCCAAGTATCCACTCAGTCCTTAACCCTTTAAACCCTGAACCCTGAACGCTAAATCCTTAACCCTAAACCCTTAACCTCTAGATCCAGGAAGAAGATGAAGAGCTGCACCCTTAAGAACCCTCGGAGTGCATCTTGGGAGCAATCGGATGTAGCCTTTCTCCCCCCAGCTTGGGCCCCAAGAGTTCCTGGCGCATGGCCAGGGACTTCTGTAAGGCTTCAGGGTTTACACAGACTGTAGGGCTTACTTAGGGCATAGGCGGGGATTACGGGTGGAGGGGGTGCGATGAATGCCTGCATAGAATGTTGGGCCTGAAGTTGTACTCGAGCCGATTCGAGCCCTGAGATGTAAAAAAACAGTAACAAGAAGTTCTGCCGCTCAGTTTTGAACTGGAATGCGAGTCTTGCAGACATCCCAAAGGTCCAAACGCAATCCGCTCGGTCAGCACTATGGTGTTGGAAGCATGGCCACCCTTGAACCTTCAGCTGAAAGTATTGGGAGTCAAAACTGCTTGCAGAAAACCATTTCAGGCTCCTTCAATCCCAAGGTAAACCCCTATATAATTTCAGTTGCCATTTAATTTCTCATTGCATTTCCATTGGCTTTCCATTAACAGCTACCTAGATTACGAGCTCCTTCGCACTGAATCTTCCACAGCCTGAGTCTGAATGTTGTGGGTTCCCCCTTCCCTTACCAACATCCAACTTCCAGCCTAAACCTCTGCCAGCGAAAGAAGAGTTGACCCTAACGAGTTATTTGGGTACATTGGCTTCAGGACTGTGGGATTTAGGGCTGAGGGCTTAGGGATTAGGGCTTCGGTCTTGCTACGGAAGTGTCATGAAGCACTAAACTGGCAAACTAGTCCAATCCAAAGACTATTGCATAGCTCTCACCGCCGACCTAGACCTCCCAACTGTCCTATCCTAAACCCTACACCCTACCCTAAACCCCAAACCCCCTTCCTTCCGTAATGGCCTACAACCTCACCATCTTGGGGTCAAAGGGGGTCGTTTCTGATATTCAGAAGGTCTAATTTGGTATGCCCTAAACTCCTGGTAGTTTCCCTCAACAAGGGGCCCGCATAGAGACCCCCAAACGATAATCCTTGCTATAGGGGCCCCCCCCGGAAGGGTACCCCTGATGTCGGGGAAACCCCAAAGCCTAAACCCTGTATATCTCTATATAACCCCTATAACCCCCTTTAAAGGCACCCCTAATTTTGGGAAACTCCAAACCCGAAACCGTATATGTCTCTATATAACCCCTATATACCTCGTTTAAAGCGACCCCTAATGTTGGGAAACCCTCCCCTCAACCCATCTGCCCTAGCTGTCCTCACCAGCCAATAGTCCTTCGCATAGCCGACGGCCTGGACACCATGGTCCAAGGTGTTGTCCGAACCTGACAGACCAAGAGCGCCAAGGTACGTGTGTTGTACATACCTCCTGGACCCTCCAATGTAATTCCTTTTTGGGTTTGTTATGGTTTTTGGGTTAGGACTCTTATTAGCACTACCATGGACTACCAAAAAATGGTACTACGTTGGAGGGTCTCAGCTTGGGTTCTCAGAGTGTTCCCACGAAACCAACCGTGGAGAATCGGTGTACGTAGACTCCCTGATCTCAGTCCTAAACCCCAACAAGAATCCCTAAACAATTGACCCCTGAACCCTAAACTTAAAGACTCCTTGCGGGCCTTGGCTGCAGCCGCTGAAAATGCCTCCGCCATACCTGAAGGGATGATACTTAGAGGGCCGGGGGGGGGGGCCTAGTAAGTAGGTTAGTAAGAGGGGTAACTAGGGTTACTAAATGGGTCATAGGGGCTATCCACCTACTGGCTAAATCCCCCTGACCCTCCAAGCAAATCCCTCACAGGTATTGATTGGACAATTTTAGGTTGTAGGGTTTTAGGGTCTGTGGTTCGCGGGGCCTGAGGTAGAATTCTGTTATGTTTCAAAAGCCAACTGCTCATGATGTGATACTTTGCATCAATAGGGGCTCAACACATATATAGTCCCCCTTAACTAGATAGAATATGGGGTATATGGGGATCTTTCTATACCATAACCAAAGCCATATTCTATCTACTGAAGGGGGACTATAGACCTCAAAACACCATGGTCCTCTTTACAAGGGCCACCAAAAAGGGATCCCTGAGTTTCGAAACCGTACACCCTATGTAACCCCATATACCCTCTCTTCCCTGTATATAGTATGTGTGTGTATATATATATATGTATACCTAGGGTTTAGGGTATATATATATAGAGANNGAGAGAGAGAGAGAGAGAGATCCAGAAAACAACCCTTTAAAAGGACCTCTGTTCGTTGAAATCCTACAAGTAAACCCTAAACACTACACCGTAGACCCTAAACCGCGTGGTTTGCTGCGATCCCTGTAAGAAACCTCCAACAGTCAAGGGGCAGCTGCCATGATCCCGCTGCCACAGTCACAGACACGGGCCCCTTCGTCGCCAAGGCAGTCTCCTTTTTGAGGGCTTAGGGTTCAGGATTNNTAGGAAGGGACTTCCAACTAGACCGCCGAAAAAAACCATAGAAAGTTGATCACCTTCAGAGACTTGAGTCTAATCATACAGGAACACGTGGCTGATAGAAGTACCTCTCTAGAGCTACAGTGCGTGAGCTAGCTTACTGCCCATAAAAAGTAAGTGCAACCCAGTATGATCTACGATGTTGCAAGTCAAGTATGCCTGAGAACGTCAGCTTAAGCAGCTCCGCTAGGCTCAGAACTACCTACTGTCGTTGGTAGGGATAAAGGTAGGGATAAAGGCCTGCGGCCTGCATTCCTGCAGGAGACGTATATAACCCACGATACATCACCGCTACAAAAGTTTCG